TTTACCTGTCCACCTCGTTGCAATGAGAATAATCTTTCATCTACTCTCTCCCAGCGCTCAGCACACGTCCACAGCCACTCCGGTGTCACTACATAGAACTTTCTACTTTTGTCCTCAGCCATACGCCGACCTATGTTCACTTTCGCGGTACCTATAAGAAAAAAAAACAACTTAGGTGGTATTTTCTAGTATTATAAAGAAGAAAGATTTTTGTATTCATAAATTCAAAAACTACTGGACCAAAATTTTTTACAACATTAGAAACTTAAATTATCTCTGAATATATCCAGTTAGAACATATTTAAGATTGTTATATAGTATTTATATATTACACATGTAGCAGGGACAGACTGAAAAATTTAACTAGTAAAAAAAAAGTATTTCCATACCTGAGCGCACAGCTACTAAATGTGTTGATTTATCTGTGAGATCCTGTGTGACCTCCGCGCCCAGGCTCCTGGCCACCAGGTACGCCCGCGACGTCTCCAGCCGCTGGTGAGTGGGCACCAGCCCGCTGAACACCAGCCTCACCCCCGACAGCACCCGACTCTTCACCTCCGGGATTATACTCTTCAAGTCCGGTATCTGCTTGCGTCCCATCGTCTCATATAGCTCGTAGAAATGCCTGAAAAGGATTTTTAGTAAACATCGTCACTTTAAATAAGTTACAGGCTAATAGTTTTATAATACACTAGCTTTCGCCCGCGACTCCGTCCGCATGAAATTAAAAAATAATATAAAACGTAGCCTATGTTACTCCCTGACAACATAGCTTCTTAATGGTGAAAGAATTTTTGAAATTGGCCCAGTAGTTTTTGATCCTATTCCTTACAATCAAATAAAGTTTTCCTCCTTATAATATTAGCATAGAAAAATGATCGAATTTAACAATACCAGTACATTTATAAATATTATCAGTATAACACTATCAAATATGCATAGAACTAATAAATAGTAATAAACATGGCCCACACTACGCAGTGAAAACTTATTTATTTCATAACGCAAGAATTTTTGGAATTGGCCCAGTAGTTTTTAAGGTATTTCGAAACATACAAATCTTTCCTCTTTATAATATCAGTTAATCTATAACACTATCTTTTTAAAAAACTTAACTTAAGACTAAGTTACATGTTTTCTTAAGTTAGAAGTTATTTTTTTGTATTTCCTAAAATATATTAACAAAAACTTAATCTCTTAATCTTACTAATATTATAAATGAGAAAGTTTGGATGAATGGATTAATGTTTGTTAGAGTTTGTAGCCTTAACGGCTGAACGGATCTCGATTAAATTTGGCATAGAAGCAGAACATAGTCTGGAAGAACACATAGGCTACTTAGTTTTTTTTAATTCCACGTTGAGTCGCGGGCGAAAGCTAGTAAATAAAATACATTCCAAATAGACTTTTTACCGAGTATAATGAATAAAATAAAAGTACTTACTGATGTATCCTGTTAAGTATATCTTCTAAGTATATAAGATAATCATCGGGATCTTCTATTTCAATTTCTCCACCTTTGGGCTCCGGCCACTGCGGCTCACTCTCTGTATTTACTTTATTTACATCATTCTCATTTACTTTTGGATTAACTTCTCCATTTTCTGTCACTTCATTTGATATTTTACCATTCTGTTTGTCACCCTTTTTGTCACTATCATTGATGTCTTTTATTTCTTCTTTCTTCTCCGGTTCATCGTCTAACGTTGGCATTTCCTGATTAGATTTTTGATTACCATTTTTCACATTATTTGTTTCTTGTTTTGATTTTTCATTATCTGCAATAATGTACAGATTATAACATTATCCACTTGATCTTTTTAGAGTTGGCAAATTATGTATTCACACAATCCATCCATACTTTCAGAGAAGTTAATCATAAAAAGCGCGCGAACATTCGAGAAAACCATCGCACAACTGTTTAGTCGCGCTTTATAATTCCTATGATTTTATATGGAGATACACACACTGGTTTTTAAGTTATGCAACTAAACAGTTGGAGACTGCGAAACAATCGACAGTCGCACAACAGTTGTGCGATAGTTTAGTCAAAGGTGTGCGCCCACTCTTAATGCAAGCTTGTAAACTACTTTTATTAATTAGAATATAAAAAATCTAATTGAATTTAAATTGTAATCCTCGTATCTGTCTTTCTTTCAAGACTCAAGTAAAAGAAAGTCTTCAGAAGGAATTCTATATTCTATGGATTGTTTATGAAGTTACAAAAATCATTAATTGTAACTTGTATCTCAATCCATATTCAATCAATATGAGTAATAATTATTTACAAAAGATTTTTAAACTTTTGTAAGAGACCAAAAACGAATTAAAGACAACTTAACTCAATATTCTCATACATAAAATACTACCTTTTGCTTGAGAGTTCGTGAATAAAAAAAATCTAATATAAAACGTATTCTAAGTTTAGTGGTAATGTACCTTTCTAATATTAAGATATGTTATAATATATGTCCAATAACTTGAGCTTTTACCATACATATACCAGAAAAGATTTTATTGATATATAAAATCTCTTACCCAATGGGGGAGGTGCATTTATATCTCCTGTTGATTGAAAGAATGAATACGGTCTGACTTGTATCAGGTTAGTTGCATGTCTCCATACATCTTCCCGATCATCTATGATGCACACCATATTATCCCCACATGGAAATAATGCCCTAAAAAGTAACAAATATAATAAAAGCAAAGAAAGGATCTATTGTATTCAATTTAAATTAACTTTCTTGTTGATAAGAAAACAATGAAAATGGAATTTAGCCAAAGCAGTTGTCCGGTTTTCCATTAACAGTGACAATATAAGACATTATAAAATTTATCTTGGATGCAAAAATACATTCTAAAACTATACATATACATATAATGATTGTTTTTTCAAACAAAATCAAACTTTAGTTCATTAGGTAAAAAGAGTTAATTTCATAATTTATTTTTATAACTTACTTTAAATTAGCAGATTTCGTTCTGGCATCGAAAAATTCATCCCTTGATAGTATCCTGTGTGAAAAGATTTTCTTCTCTGGATCTAGTAATTCAGTAACAGCGTGTGCATACTGTCTCGCACCAAATGTACATACATGCAGTTCATATTTTTTGGAAGCAGATTCAAGGAAAGTTTTAGTTCTCGGCCTTAACCTTGTGTGACACCATCTTCCAGTATTTCCAGGCCCTCGGAGATAAAAGTGAAGTACATCCTTTAAAGAATAAAAATTAAACATCTTAGTGATCTTATAGAGCGTTGGTGGCTCAGTGGTTTAAGCACTTGACTTGTAATCTATAGATCTTGGGTTCGAATCCCGCCATGTACCAATGTGATTTTCGATTTGCGATTTTTTGTTCTTACGGTTCTTACGGTGAAGGAAAACATTGTGATGCAACCTGCACATAAAGGCGAAGAAATTCAAAGATATGTGTGAAGTCAACCAACCCGCACTGGGCCAGCGTGGTTGACTATGGCCTAGTCACCCTAATTCAGGGTAAGCTCCGAGCCCCTCGGTGGGGATGTATAGTGAGCTGGTGATGATGATGATTAGATCTTAGAGACAAAAAGATATCTAGTTTGCCTTTAGTGATATTGGAGTAGCTTTAGTATACTCATTGTATAATTATTGTTCAAAAGCTATTAAATAAATAATTAAGTAAGTCAGATATGTTTACAGATAGTCGGTCAACAAAGATGTTATAATATAAGTAAAAGTAAATTTCACCTAGTACTGTCAACTTCTAGTGTAAAAATGGATAAACAAGCAATTTAAGAAAATCTTTGTTTTTTTACCTTTAAATTTGGTGGTATATTATCATTTGTTGTATGCACTAATGTTTGATCTAAATCAACAAGTAGAACTAGCTTCTTATTTTTCAAATGACGCTCAGCATCTTCACGGCCTAACTTCAGAGCCAACTCCTCTGAAACCTGAAAAATCACATTTACGTGGGTTTTAATATAATTACAAGCTTAAATAATGTGTACTTAAACATTTTACATTTACTGTTTTTAAATTATTTATTTACAGAATCATCATTCATTTTAGAGGCTCTAAGATGTTCAAAAAAAATAAAATTGCAAACATTTATTACACTATCTAAACTTTTCATTTATCACAATATTTGATTCATAATGGATAGTGAATTAAATTCTTTGACTATACCTTTAATTCAGGTACTGAATGCACCATGGGGACACTAGCAACTTCGCCCTTCACGCGTTCATCTTTACGGAGGTCGGAGCCGCATTCCGCGCACATTTCTTTCATCACAGTTGAATGTTTGCATTCTTTCAACTCTGCCACACATACTCTGAAAAATAAATAAATTACATCAATTAATATAAATATTAATTTAAAAAGTATATGCTACAATCCAATACACATTTTATACATTTATCTATAAAAAAATAATAGAAAATAATGATTTGTTTACTTCACTGGACATGTTTACAAGCCTTTGTTAGTTATATTTCGTGTTTTACGTTAGAAATTTTCAGCTTTTTAAGTATAGTGTGCGATTGTAGTTCTAATGTATTGATTAATTTATAAAGTTACTTTTTATGTTTGTATTTTACCGCGCAAAATGAAATTCAGTTTGTCATGTTTCAGTTATTGTTAAACATACTATTAATTAATTTATATTTTATAACTTTCGAAAAGTAATATTACGGTGCATGAAATAGCAAAATATATAGAAAAAAGCAATTAACAAGAAAACGTGTATTAGCTAATGTGACGTCACTTACCCAGGTTCGGTGATGTCTCCTTCTTTCACCTTGATTGACAAGATGGTACCACCGCAGGCAGCTTTAAATTTCTGCGGTACATTACTTTTGCCCGAAGAGTCGCTGTATAAAAAGAGTATTTGGCCGTGCGATACAACAGCACCTTGTTTAACTTTCCACTTTATCACTTTCAGAGGCTTTTCTGATGGAACAAAAATAGGCATAGTTTTTTCGGCCATCTTGAACGGAAATAGTGCTTTAAAACTTGGATGGAGGATTTTCATTGGTTCTTGTGGTATAATTTTGGCGGTTAGTTAATATCAACCAATAAGATGCATTTCTTGAAAAATCGATTGAAGTCATTACAACTCCATACGTCAAAAGACATCTATCACATGGAACTAATGTTGCTATTAGATAATATCATTCATTCATTTTTCTGATTCTATTTTTTTTTTAGGGTATTTATTTGAAATATCCAGGTATGAATACAGAAGTAAAAATAGTAAAAACGTTCTTATTTTATTTAATACAACACCATTTAACTTAAATTGATTTCCAGTGGTCTGAAAAATAATCATCATCATCTCCCCTACGTCCCCTACCTCAGCCTACACCCGTAAGGTCGGCGCATCGAATTTTCGTCCTTCAAATAACTGTATCATCCGTTATCTCAGTTTCCACTCCCATGTAGATCATTTTACCCTTCCTACAATCTATTCATTTTTTTCTAGGTCTACCTCTACCGGTGTATCACTCCACATTTATAAGTAAAGTTCTCTTTGTAACATGTGATTCGCCCCTCCTCCTAATATGCCCAGACCATGCTAACTTTGTCTACTTCTGTCTTCCACTGGGACTACTTTCAGATTTTCAGAACTAAAAAAAAAATAATCCAGACTATAAAATGGTTTTGTTTACATGTAAGAAAGATCTGTCACATAAAATCAGACAACAGACCACAGATATCAAACTTTTGACAGCAACAATATTATTAGGTGTAACGACATTGTGTATTTAGTAATATTTTGTTTTGTTAAAAATTTGAGTTCATATATTTTGCAAAATGGTCGATGAAAATATAACAGTGAGTGATAATTCAGACATTGACGAAGGCGGTACTGCAGAACTTCGTGGTTACTTAAGTAAATGGACGAATTATATTCATGGTTGGCAAGATCGGTTCATCGTTTTAAAGGATTCCACTTTATCATATTATAAAAGCGAATTGGAGAGTAATCTTGGATGTCGAGGTGCATTATGCTTGAAAAAAGCTAAAGTTAAGGTAAAGCAACATATTTTTTCGACTTTACAAAAATTGATTTGTCCTTGTTTGTCTTCCTTAATGAAACAAATAATATTAAATCAGGTGCAATAGAACAATGTATTCGTTTTATTGCCCACAGCGACCCTCGTTTTTTACGTATTCTGACACGTGATTTAGTTTTCTTTATCTATTATGATGGTATTAAAGTTGTATTTATCAGCATCATATAATTTTCGAAACTATTGATAAAGCTATAAATCTTATTTATTTAAAATACTTAGAGGATAACTTTTTATTAAATGTCAAAAATATAAATGTAAGTTGTGTAGTTTCCTTGTGTTAAATTCATGTAACATAGATTAAATTAATTTGGTCTTTTGTTTTTTTTTTCAGCCACATGAATTTGATGATTGCCGATTTGATGTATCTGTCAATGATTGTGTGTGGTATCTAAGAGCTTCAAATCCTGAGGAGAAACAGCAATGGATCGACATATTGGAATCATTCAAAGTAAGAATAAATTAATACATTGTAAAATACACTTAATGGTTAACATGATGCCAACATTTGCCTGAACATTACATATATTAGATAAATATAAAATATTATAACTAATTAAAGCATAACTAACAGGATAAATTCTCTTTATCCTTAATTTTTACACTCACAGTTGTATTCAAAATTGATAATATTCTGCTTGAATAGTAGTGAATGTTTTAAAAACAAAAGTGGCACAGTGACCCACATTTGACCTTCAACCAACAATCCGACAAAAATAACATTTTCCCTAACCTATATTAGATCGTCTGACTTGAACGAACTTTTGTATATCCCTTACAACTAAAGGAAATGTGGACCTGCTGAGTTGTTGATTATTGGCTAAATTTGGCACAAAATTGGCAAATTGCTTGGTTTGGCTTTATTTAACTCTGCAGTCTCAATGTAAACATTACTGAACTATTTTTCTTTGAATCCAGAATCATAATATTTATTTACTAAAAGGTTGGGATTACTCATGTTGTTATCAGTTAAACTTCCATATCATATGATAAGGCTTGTTTAGCAAAATTCCCTTGAAAAATATGTGGTGTTGTAATAAATAGAAATGCCAATAGCCTGATAAAGGTATGGACATCCAATCACATGGTCAGGGGTTCAAATTTCGTAGATTTGTTGTAAACCACATTCTAGAACACAGGAATAGCTAAATTAACAAAAATCTACTAATATTCTTAAAAATGGTTAAAACATGTTATGTTATTTTTAAAGGTGGAGTCAGGGTATGGAACAAGTTCAGACAGTAGTTCAAATGGAGGCGGTCTGAGAAGACATGGCTCTGTTACTTCACTGCAATCAACAGGCTCAAATGGTAAATTATCTTTGTTACTAACTAGCTGTTGCTCGCGACGTCGTCCACTTTAAATAAAAAAAAATATAGCCTATGTTACTGATAACATAGCTTTTTTATGGTAAAAGAATTTTTAAAATCGCCCCAGTAGTTTTTGAGTTATTTCAATACTTACAAATCTTTCTTCTTTATAATATTATCACAAATTAGCTGTACCAGTGCTGGTTCATTAATTACAGAATTAATTTTTATATTGTGTAAAAATTTTAATTAAAAATGTTAAAATGCAACTGCTCAATCAACAATGAGGGCCCTTGCCATTGGCTGAGGATTTAAGTAACCATGGCAACCTTGCTTTTTTGCTGCTTTTGGTTTTTGTGCCATTCTTACAGAGCTGTTTTTTTCGGTTTACTCACTGACAATTCAAAAATATCTGTGATTGTTGACATCCTATGTAACAAAGTGTGTGTTTACACTTTATTATATTAGTATAGTTATATTTAAATAAAAGAAAGAATAATTGTACTTTTAGCAAGGTTAACACTCTGCATCACCATAATTTAATTTTCACATAAATTTATAACAAAAATTGTTTGGCATTAGATTGTTAACTTAAATACTTTAAATGAATAGTTAGAAATTATTTTTACATCTTAATTTGATGATAATTGCTTGAAAAATAATAAAAAAAACGGATTTTAACTAATCATCATCTCCCCTGCCTTATCCTACTCCCGTAGGGTCAGCGCACCGGGTTTTTGTCCTCAAAAGCACTCTATCATCCATCACCTCAGTTATCACTCCCTTCTTGATCATGTCACCTTTTATGCAATCCATCCATCTCTTTCTAGGTCTACCTCTACCGGTGTACCTCCACATTCATAACTAATGTTCGTCCTGTTACATGCGATTCATCCCTTCTCAAAACATGCCCATACCACACTAACCTTTTAAATTCATTTGTGTTTGGAGGTATTTAATTTAGTATAATAAATGCTGCCTTGATAAAAACATTATCAGTGAAATTGATACTTTAATATTAATATGTTTGTTAGTTATCTTTTGTTTCCTTTGTTATCTAAATAGCAACATTGACTTGTGTTTCATTTTTATTTACCCGTTTGCAATTTTTATGTTCATGTAGATAATTGGATGCTGTGAATTTGACATTGCAGTTATCTTTATTTAACTTTGTAGTGATTTAAAAACATTTGTGATCTGTAAAGCTCCTTCAATTATATTTAATTCATATTATTTGAGCTTTTACTTTTCAGTTATAAAGTTGTAAATTTGCCAAATAAATAAAACAATACTTCTCTATGTCTATACTACTATTGTAAAGAGGAAAGATTTTTGTACATATTGAAATAACTCAAAAACTGCTGGGCCAATTTAAAAAATTCTTGCAACATTAAAAAGCTATGTTATATGTTATCAGTGAGTAACATAGACTATGTTTTTTATTATTTTTTAATTTCAAGCGGCCGAAGTCGCGAGCAACAGCTATTATGATGATAAAAATAGATACAAATGTACAATAACTTAATGTGAATAACAATAAAAATCGAATTATTCTCATTGATGCGTCATTGACTGTCGCATACATTATTCTAAACGTTCACATCTTAATTCTTACTAATAATATACCATAGATGCGAATGTTTGGATGGATATTAGAGCTTGTAGCCTAAAAGGCTGAATGGATTCCAAAAAATTTGGGTACCTGTAAAACATAGTCTGGAAGAACATTAAAGCTACTTATAAAGAAATTTAGCAAAAGCAACTTCATGATTTTAATAAGATTAATACTTTATATTAAAATTTGGTTATTTGCAGGTCGTACATCTCGTCGTTTGACTGAGAAAATCGCTGAGTTGGACACATACAGTGAACTGTTGTCGAAGCAATCCCTACAGTTGCAGAATTACTTTGACAAATGCGTCGCTTCCTGTCCACAGATTAATGATGAGAGTGTTGAAGCTATTGATGCTGTAAAACTTGTTGATGGTAAGGTTAATGTCAAATAAAAGATTTAACCAAGTAGTGAAACGAATCATAATTAATTCCCTTTGTATTTACAATTTGATAGACGTCAAAATTTGAAAGGTACTTGGAGTTCAAATTCCATCATGCTTAAGCATATGACGTGGGGGCCTTCAAAAGGAGAGTGAACAGCTACCTATTAAGCTAGCGCGTACCAACTTTCGACTGCATCGTCACCTCCTTCAGGTGGGATTGTGGTCAAGCGCTAGCTTAACAAATAATAAAAAAAAAGCATGGTCTTATCATTTAAGCCGCTGTTATATGTTTAAATAATGTTTCAGCATTCGGCTATAAGTAATATAGATATTGAGGAAGTATTAAAGCTGAGGAATTTCTTTTTAAGATGCCTGTATGTTGCTTAATGTTTAAGTCTTGTAATAGATACGACGATAATGAAATCACTGTTCAGAAAGGTTGAAATTAATTGGCATTTTTTGAAGAAAAAGTTATTGTTTAGCAACTGCAAAGATTAAATTGTTTCTGATTTGTACATTTTCATATATAGACAACATTAATAGACAAAAACAGTTAGGAATTTAAAAGTAAGTTATAAGTAGGGTGTTTTATTTTAATGTTATTAATATATCATAACAGCATTGCCTTAATAGTCGCTTCAAAATGATATACAACAAATCGGCGATATCTCAAACACTCAATGTACAGTATTAATAAAGCAACACGTGTAGGGGGCGTGGATCTGCGCACGCAGTCGGGGGATGCGGGCGATGTGGGCGGGGCGGGCGAGGTGCGCGCGACGGGCGCGTCGTTCCGCGCGACGTGCGGCGCCACGCTAACTACGCTGCACCACTGTCTCGACCTGCTGCGCCGCAGGGAGAGGCAGGCGCGCCAGGCGGAAGACCTCTACATGTGAGGACCCATTATACTTACACATTCCCGCTTTTATTTCTTCTAGTGCCCTAGGGTATGGAAGAGATAGAACCAATCATTGTGGCGATATTTGGGGGAGGCTTATGGTTAACAGTGGGCGTTAAATTGTTGAACAGTTCCTTGAGTTCCTACCGTTCTAACGCCGGTAATGTATATACATGTCTTGTGGATAATGTAATTTATCGTCTATTGATCTTTTTTGGAAAGTTTATTTACTAGTTTTACAATACTCAAACGATAAATTTGAATCTAACTTGATCATTTTGTTTTAGGGCATTAAAGAATCAATTGACGGAAGCAAGATTGGCGTCAAAACCCGGACCTGATCACGAGGTTAGTAATTTTAGTATTATTATGTTTGTTGCTTGTCCAAAAACGAGTCTTTGAATATATAACCAATGTTACTTTTGGAATAATGATAGTATAAAAATAATTTTACGAATAATAGAAATTCCGTTTTATTTTTCAAAATTCCGAGTTCATTACATTCAAACACACATAGTTACGTATGTCTGTGTCTAAAATTTGTTTTTTTTTATTATGTCTTAATTATCTTTATAATTTTGTCTATTAATAAATTTAGTACGAGTACAAACAAATCGCCTCCTATACAATAAATAGACAAGTCCTTTATGACTTGCATTAGTTTAACCACAGATAATACAATATACTACTGATAGTTTAGCCCCGCCTTGAAGTCGAATTCCGTGTAAAATAGGGTTTATTCTGACATTGACGGCGCTTAATGGTGTGATAGCTATGAATAAAATGATGAATGTTTTTCCAGACTATTACCTTGTTTATTTTTAGATACATGATTTCTAGATATGACAAAATAAAGTGTAGAGATTTATAAATTAAACAAAACACATGTATTTGAAATGATTACACAAATATTCATCCAATTGGAATGAATGTAGGATGTTATTTAATTAGACAAATTTATGTACTAAATTACATGTTATAAATAACTAAATTGATCGATGATTGAATTAATTTGTTGTAAATATAAATAAATATAAAATATCTATATTGGATATTTTTTGAATCTGCTACAACTTGCAGGTTCAATACTTTATCTCATTTTAAACTGAAACGATGTCACAAGTATTTCCTAGAGTTATGTCACAGATAAAAATAATCTATAGATTATATTATCCACTTGTCAAGATCGAATTAGATTCTTTATAAAATCAATTAGAAAGCCTTCACCTGATAATGTCTTTTCAGAACACAATTTCATATTGAAACAAATGTCAAAAAATATGTTATTATCTCTTTCTTTCAAAGAGAATAAGTGGGTTGAGAATACTACAGCTTTGGCGGCAGGAATTAAATTTAACCGTAGAATTCTACTGCCATGACCTGACCCTTTCGTACTGACCGCTTTATGAAGAAAAGTTACAGTACAGTAAGGGTAGATCTACATTAAGGTGGTCATATACTTCATTCTAATAATAAAAATGCTAAAGTTTCGATTGATGATGGATCTCGAATATGACTTAAGGAATATCGATGTTTAGGACGGAATTAGAATATTGTCTAGAAGAACGTATAGGTTACTAGCTTAATTTGTCAATTTTTCGCGTATGCAATCGCGGGTAAAAGCTAGTCTATATCTATCTACACCTATAGTGAAATTGGAGTGTGTGTCATATAAAAAAAATCAGATTTCGGGAAAATGATGTATTTGTGTTGCTGATATTGAAAATCGTATGTTTTTGTCTCTCTGTCCGCAAGCCGCGTTTTTCTGAGTAACCTCCGAAACGGCTGGGCCGATTTCGACCGGACTTTCACTGAGGATAGTTGACATAAACGGGCATATTATAGCTACTTTTTTATCTTAATATTGCATGGACGAAGTCGCGGGCAACAGCTAGTTGGTTAATATAAACACAAATATAGCGTACTGTGTAACAAGCAGGCCGGGGTAGTTTCACCTCGGCTCGGCATAGTAAAGGCGGCCGTGTCGGAGCACGGACGTGCCGCGCGTTTATTCTCTTTCTGTTTATATTCCATTTATCGATACCCTTCACTTGTTTCCTGTTCAATTATCTTTGGTTTACTTGAGTTATTTTCGTACCTTTATCAGTGGATGTTAGTGCCGCTTTAGTGATGTTCCTTGGTCGCGTGTAATATTTTTTTTTGTTTTCACCCGTTTGAGAATGAAATTTAACCTGTTTAAGAAAAGTCTGCGAGAGGTTAGTTGTGTTATTTGTTTGTTCCATGTATTTCTAAATATAATTTTAAGCAAATGTTTGTAAAAGTAAAATTCATAATTTCCATAACATAATTAGATGTTTATTTCTTATGATGTGCCGTTTAATAGTCTTTTTCCTCAATAATGTTTTATTTAAGGTCATCCTATTAAATGTAACGTATAATTTTAGTAATATATTTTATTTACCTACATCTTCAGTCATATGCCTACATCGTAATATGCCGGTGTTTTTGTTATTTATTTAACCTTTTATTAACATACTGATAAAGATAAAGAAAACCATAATATATTGTATATAAAAATATTTTAATATAAATCAAGTACATACGAGTAAAATAAAAAACCCACATCATGTGATGTTGAGATTAATCAAATGATATCACACATGTTTATTTCTAATCTAACGATTGTTTTGTGTTTATATACTTTGTTGTTCTTGTACATAATATATAAATGACGTATTCGAATCCCCTACCTTATGTAGCTCCATACAAAAGTGCGTTATACCATTGGCTCTTTAAGGGAAGACATTTGGCTCTTAAAACTTATTTTTATGATTAATTTGATACCCAAATGATAACCAAAGCTTGGTCTATTACAATAGCTTCGATAACAACCTTAGTGAAATGTTATTTTTGAACTGTTTAACTGCGTTTAGTTTATGTGGAATCAAATTAGAAATAAACTTGCGCCCTTTTGAAAAGTAGCATTAAAAAACATTGAATTTTCTACGCACGTAATTTTAAACCATGCAAATTAATTAGGAAATTTACGTTTTTATTTCTACACGTTTAAAGTTTTATGTGCTAGGTTTACATGGGCGTGTTTTCAAGAAGCGAGCCTATCATTTCCTCAAAGGCCGGCAACGCATCTGTAGTTCCTCTGATGTTGCGGATGTCCATGGGCGTCGTTGACTACCTTGTTCACGCCGCTCGTTTGCCCTCTCTTATTATAAAAAAAAACTAGCTTAGTGATCTCGGTGTTCACCGCGGAAAGAACGAATTAATTTACGCGTCTTTGGGAAGTCAATGTAAGAGTGGAACTGAAGCTCTTTATGATGTTTGTGGTTTTATGTCTTGATTCTGGAAATAAGTAACGCTAATAGCCTTTAAATATGTGACTTTTGTTAACTTAAGGTTTGTTTATTACCAGCTTTTGCCCGCGACTCTGTCTGCGAGGAATTAAAAACAACAAAAGCAAGTAGACTTTGAGTTTGTCCAGATTATGCTCAATAACTATGCAAAATTTCATCAAGACCTGTTCAGTAGTTTAGGCGGAAAACTCCCAACAAACCGTCTAAACATTAGCATTTTTTTTTTATATGAGACGGGGGCAAACTTTCGGCGGGAACACAAAGGTGGTCAACGACGCCCATGGACATCCGCAACACCAGAAGAATATAATATCATAATATTAGTTAGATAAACGCAGTCTTCTGATAAATAGACTGAAAGCATTTGAATTATTTGAGATCATGTCTATAACATTGTATCATTTAATTTGGTTTGAAATTAGCCTGTGACGTAATTCGGTCAGCCTCGTTCACATCCATTACCCGTCTAGCCTTGCGGAACGCGTTTGTTTATGGAAACGGAAATACACTGAATGTGTGCGAATTTACACATACTAACCACATTTGTTTTTAAAAATGTAGTGAAAAGTTGCCAGCTACATCTTCATAATACAAAAAATCGTCAGATTAAACGGTAACTAAAAAAAAAAAACAATTGAGTCATGCATACGTTTGGTGCATACGTGATTAATGCGGTCATTTTCCACGAATTAAGGCGATTTAGTGCATTACTAATATTATTTAAAAAATTGTGAATATGATGAGTTAGGTCATTTGTAAAATCTTTTAAGGTTCAATATTTGTATTACGTTTCACGTTGTGTTTTAGTGAAAATTACAAAACTAACAAATGAAATTAGATACCACAAAATTAAGTAGCACATAGTTACCTTAGTATTAAGTATGTCATTGACTTTGCCCTTGAATGGTTAAGTTACATAAAGCAACGGTTGTTCACAAACATGGCATCTGGTCGGGAATTCTGATGGCAGCCGGTTACTGCAATGCCGCCCTTATTCGATTTTTTCAAGGTAACTTAGGCTGAAGTTTAATTATTTTGCTGTAATTTAGGGGGTAATCAAATAATTTTGACGATTTATTGACATTTACACTTGAAAAATTGAGCCAATAGTAATTTATACTATTATAGACTAAAAAAAAATTTTATTTTTTCACTCGCAATGTCTTCTATTAGTTTGGCTTCTTCCAATCATTCCCAGTTCAATTTAGTCCTTTACGCAACGACTCGAATTCTATGGAGACGATAGAATTCAATTAATAAATCAATATAGCATTTTATAAAGAAACAAAAAAAAAAACTCCATCCCTCGCGACTGATAATGTTCTCCATACAAGTTAAAATAAACTTTAATACAGTGTAAAACAATGATCAGGTTTGCTATCGACTTTTCCTGAGATCACTCTCATTTATCCGACGTTCTTACGACTTGATGGAACTTGATGTATCTGCGAAGAAATTCAAAGATATATGTGAAGTCAAGCAGACTGCACTATACCTGCGCGGTGAAGGTCTAGTCAACCCTTACTAGGGTAGGCTCCTAGCCCCTCAGTGGGGACGAGCTGGTGATGCATACTCATGTGAAGACCGTATCGTATAACAACCTCGTGACAGCCCTGCCGGGTTCGCTAGGTCGATGCGTATCCGGGATGCCTCGGCTGCGGTTCGTTGCACTCGCTTATCATTGAATATGCGCCAACGTAAACATTACTCCCTGTTCTTTGCCATAATCTTGTTATACTCTTATTTCTAATACTCGTCACTGACTACTGGGACTGTAAGACAGGATTGTCGTTTGTAATATTTGAAACAAATTAATTTCTTTTGTTCTTTACCACTGTAGTTTAATTATACTTTTAGTATGAAATATGATAAAAAAACGTATTAAAATGTTCTAATTTATAAATCTATTCTAATATTATAAAGAGGAAATATTTGTATTTTTGGAATTTTGTATTTATTGAAATAACTCAAAAAGTACAGGATCGAATTCACCATTAAAAAGTTACGTTTTCACCAAGT